TTCAGTCCTCAAAATGTTCAGACACTTTTGAAACCATGCAGCAGCCTTTTAAAACAACAATTGTATCCAAAATCCTAAATCTAACATATAAGGATCAATACATGACATCTCATTACTCAAAGTCAATCATGCTTATGCCTGTGAATTATCAGCTCACACAATCTACTTCCAAATGCAACCATTGTGTCATCACACCAAAGAAGTCCCTCGCTCATAATAGTTGGGACTGAGTACTACGCTCACACTCTCAAAGAACTTCTAACACTAACAACAAACTACCATAGGCTTGCCCTCACTTTCTACGCTCTATATTTCGAACACCCAGAAAAGGATCACTGTAGGACTTTATTGGCTTGTAACATAGGCTCAGGGGATAGGTAATGGATATTTGGTTTCGTGAGTGACTAGTCCCTTGGTTTTCCAAAGTTTCGTTTTCACATAACTCTTTTTTGAGCGATTCCCTCTTTTTCTTTATTTCAACACGACCCAATAGCTATTATTTCCTTTTTCTTTTCTTTTCTTCTTTTTCTGTTCATTTTTTTAATATGCAATTTTGATATGCACTTAGCTCACTGGTTGAACCTTCTTTTTCCTTTTTCTTTCGATTCAGATTGCAATCACCCTCAACTTAGGCTTTTGGCCTGAGTTGTAACATCGTACCTTCGGAGAACCAAGGATATGATATGTGTTGGGTAATAACAAAGACTGATTTAAGGCTCAAATTGGGTTCAAGTGATAAGCTTTTCATTTGGTTATTTTATTTTTGGCTTTTTACTGGTTTAACAAAAATGGCTTACTGATCCTTTCCTATCCGGTTATTCTCAGATTCAAGCAAGACTACTTGGGCAAGTTCTAGTTTTTGTTCCTAGAGTTAGACTTCAGGCAAACATTTCAGACACACATGACACATGACTACACTATCCAATTTCTTGGTTCACCAATTAATTAGTCAGACTAGCCATGTTCAACATATCAGTATCTAAGATGTCATCTAAAGATCCTAATAGTCAAACTCAGATTTAGGTCCTTATTTTTCACAGAGTAGCTGTTGCACAGCTCAACACACAAAACACCCAAAAACAGTAACACACAGAGACAACCTCCATTTTTCTAACCGCTATGGCAGGTTGCTCACCACCCCCTCCCCAAATGAAAGGGACTTTGCCCTCAAAGTCGACACAGAACAATACAACACACAAGGCTATGAGGAGGGGTCATACCTACAACGCTCTAGACGCAGGTCGTCGGATCAGCATTGGCTCTCTTATCTATGGGTGCACTCTCAGAACTCGGTACTTGATCATGTTGGTCCTCATTTGTCGAGGCACGTGCTCTAATAACAGAAACTCAAACTAAGGCTGCATCTCGCTTTTGCTATTCAAGGGCTTCCTTTTCTCGAGCTTCCCTCTTTGATGTTCTACGAGCTCTCTTTTCATGCCTTCTTGCCTCTGTGGCTGGGTCAGTAGGGGTCTCCTCATCAAGTTGTCTAATTTTGTGTTTTATCTTGCCGGACTTACTCGTGGGGATTTCTCCCCAAAGATCATCAATTGATTGAGTGAAGTGTGCCTGATTTAGCATTTGCATTAAAGATTCTGGTAATATCGGAGTGGGTACCTGTACTGGCTTTTCAGCCAGTTTAGCAATCTGAGTTCTCATCTCGGTTAGCTGTGATTTGAACTCTTTAGTATCTACTAACCTGGCAGCCTGGAATCCATCTTGGACAAGGTTCTCCAAACCATCCAATTTGTCTTTTAAGACAGCCAACTCTTTTATCACCTCATCTTTTATCTCTTTTTACGTAGCTAACACCTTGGTCTCTAATAGCTAAGGCATCCAGAGTACAATCTGGTCTACCAATGTCCTAGTCTGGCGCTGATCTGCAACCAATTTCTCAAGAAAGAGCATAGGAATAGTAACAAAATTACCTGGAGCCTAGGAGGCAGAAGCTGGTGGTGGTGGTGCCTCTGTGGAAGGCTGGGATGACTCTCCCTGCTCTGGGCCTTTGTCTACGCGTGGAATATCAAGTGGGACATGTGGAACAACAACTGGAGTACCCACAGCTGTAGACTTCTCGCCAAAGAGATGGTTTGCGACATCCGTGATTTTAGAAACTTGGATGAGTCTGAATGAGTCACGCCATCTGTCGATGAGCTTGTTTGGGGGAATATCCACTTGTCTACACAATTTCCCTATCAGACAGGGAAATGGAAACTTATCTTTCTCATTCAATGCTCTGTTTCTCATCTCAGTAGCTATGATCCGCCCCACATTAACTAGTTAACCAGCCATGAGGAAGGCTACCAAAGATGCTAAAGAAGGAGACAAGGTCTTGCCATTTCCCGTAGGTCTCAATTGGGCATGCACAACAACCCACCACACCTTGACTGGAAATGATAACGAAGCTTTTGGTATCAGTGTTGGCATCGTGGTGACCCTAACTGCATTCTTGCCCATCTATGGCAATTTGTTTTGCAATCCAGCGCAACATCATCTCACGAGAACTCTGAATCTCCATAGTAGTGTCACTAGTGACTTCATGATGTTTTCCCTCGAGAAGGCCAACTAAAGCCAGTGCAGAGTATTTGGGGCCATGCAACATCCTATTAATAGTCGCCTCAGAGATATCTACTGATTTACCCCGAACTACAATAGAATTGAGTGGACCCCATGAAATGGCAATATCTCTCTGTCCATGCTTCGTAGTCTCTGTGTTCGCAGAAAAATTTACCTGTGTGGCTGCGTAAGAGTAATCCCCAGGTGTATTGTCCATCCAATTGAACTGATTAAATTGAAATGTCCGGGAATGTCAGCTACCACCACTCTAGTCTCAGGCATAATTGCCTGCTTCTTGAAGCTGCCAGTCTTGGTCACAATTCCATTGTTGGAAAATTCTTCGGATCGGTTCACGGTCCACATGGAATGGTAACAGGCAATCAGTTGTGGTCTCAGTGCAGGGTTAGGTTCATGGGCGTTCACATACATCACCATAGTATCATCATCGGTGATCTCTTCATCATCCTTTATAGTAGCCGCTTCCTCTTGTACTCCGATTTCAGCTTCTATATTCACCGCAGGTGGGGAGGTGTTTGCTTCTTCTTGAGAACTACTTTCAGATTCTGCACTGCCCCCCGAGTCATTAGTAGACTGGCTACCTGAACCATCATTAGATTTACTAGCTGACGCTGCAATGTTACCGGAACTACTTCCTCCCTCTTCAGACTAGGGAGGAGTGTCCTGGAGAATAACTCTCTTTGTCTCTGATCTGGTAGCTCGAGGTAAGTGATCTTCAGGTGTGACATTTATTTGCACCTCAGAATTACTAGCATCGGAGTCATCATGACCCTCTGATTGAGAAGCAGTGGGGCGGGAGACAGGTTTAATTGAGTTCTTTCTTCGAGGACCCATTGTACATGATAAATACAAAACTCATTAGTATTCAACATAGTCAAATGACACACTATCGGGTACTTAGACTTCCCCTATGTAATTTCATCGTGACGCCTTGCCTTAAAAATGTCGTCACCCAATCTATCATTGGGAAGGGCCACATAATCAAAAGACGAACCAAAACTGAAGTACAAAAAAATTTAAAAAAATTACACCAAGTATGCTTTACGGGAGCTTGTACGGGCCGTGGTATGTACCAAGGACCGTGAAATCCCTTGTGGAGTTGAGACAGAATTAGTGTGCAAAAGGAGCCACATAACGTTTTACTAAGGGATGTTCACGGATGACTTCACAACCTGTGGAGTGCACCACGGTCCGTGATACTGTCCGTGAACTTTATTTGAGGGATGGGTTGACTTCAAGTGTGGTCCACGATAAGTTTCACGACCTGTGGTATATTCGACGGTCCGTAAAACCTGTTGTGGTCTTACACTTGATCAATATTTCAGTCACATTCTACCCAACATAGACCACAATACGATTTTACAGCACCAACTGCCATTTTTACACAGGTTTACAACTGACCCATATCTACACATCAACCCTTTTTCACACACTCAATTAAATACCACAGAAACACAACCAATTTAGAACATTATAATTTCACCCTATTATAAGCATTATACCCACAGACAAAGCAAAGCACACCAAATTCATCTTAACCCACAACAGTTCACTATCAATTTAGGGTAATCATCACAAGATTATGCTAATCTTGATTAATTCGACTTCAATCTAATTTGTGTTAGACACGATAGAACACTGCAAGCATTATGAATCGACTTACTTGGGAATAATGGGTGTTTCACGCACACAGAAAGGGGGAAAGTAATTTGAGCACTTGATCGACTGAGAGCTTAGGGTTTCGATTATTAGATGAACTTAGGATTGATTGATGAATGGAAATCAATTCTAACCTTTAGATAGCCATTATAGAGGAGAATAATAGGAAGAAACCTGACTTTTGGCACTTTTGGAATAATATTATCTTGCCAAACGGGTTACGCACGGGTCGGGTCGAATACGGGTAATACTGGGTAGAAGGTGACGGACCGTGACGTGGACCGTGAAATGGTTTGTGACTTTAACTTAGAACCTAACACAAACCTGTGGAGACGACGGGCCGTGAAGTCGCCTGTGAAGGGCATCACGGTCCGTGAACCATTCCATGACCTCGACTTGGAAACTTTAATTCATACCTGAGGTTCACGAGAGACTAGATGGTCCGTACAAGCTCTGACGGACCGTGAACCCTTCCATGAACCTTTTTTGTGCAATTTCTAGTAGCTTCTTTAAGTTGATCATCAAGTTGACGGACCGTGAAGTTGCCCGTGAAGGGCACCATGGTCCGTGCAACTGCCCGTGAAGAGCAGTCTCCCCCAGGTTCTACACTTTCCCATCTATTCTCTCCTGCATATATCAACACACATTGACTCTATAAAAATAACGAAAAATAAGGAAAAAGGGAAAATACCTGGTACGATTGCATCTTGGGTTGCCTCCCAAGCGACGAATAATTTAACGTCACGATGCGATGCAGGTTACTTGATTACTCAGACTTCGTCAATTTTACAGTACTCTACAACCTTCACATCCTCTGGAACACCCAAATATGCCTTGATTCGCTGGCCATTACCTTTGAACCTCTCGTCCTTATCATTTTCCAGCTCAATAGCACCATATTGAAAAACCTGTGTAACCTTAAAAGGTCCAAACCATTTAGACCTCAGCTTTCCTGGAAACATACGAAGTCTAGAGTTGAAGAGTAACACCAAGTCACCAGGAGTGAAGCTTCTTTTCTCAATGTGTTTGTCATGATATAGCTTCATCCTCTCCTTATACAGTGCAGACCTCTCATAGGCTTTCAACCGGAACTCATCCATCTCATTGATATGATCCAACCTCAAGTTTGCAGTTTCGCTCCAACTTAGGTTTAACTTCTTCAACGCCCACAGGGCTCTATGCTCAAGCTCAACCGGCAAATGACATGCCTTTACAAAAACCAATTGATATGGAGACATACCAATAGGCGTCTTGAAAGCTGTCCAATATGCCCATAGATCAACATCTAGCTTCCTTGCCCAATTTGTCTTATTGGCAATGGTTGCTTTAATCTCCCTGTTGGAAACCTCTACTTGTCCACTTGCCTGTGGGTGATAAGGTGTTGCAACCTTGTGTTGTTTTACCCCATACTTGGTCAAAAGTGCACTGAACACCTTGTTGCAGAAGTGAGAACCACTATCACTGATAATGGCTCTGGGTGTTCCAAACAGCAAGACTCTTTCCATTGTTCTCAGGTAAAGAAACAACCTCAACCCATTTGGACACATAGTCCACTGTAACCAGTATATACTTCTGCCCATATGAACTCACAAATGGGACCATGAAATCAATGCCCCATACATCAAAAAATTCCACCTCTAGAATAGGTATCATGGGTAACTCATGTTGTCGAGAGATAGCTCCTTGCCGCTGGCACACATCACAACTCCTTACCATATCCATCACATCCTAATGAATTGTGGGCTAGTAGTACCCACACTGAAGTATCTTGTGGGCTGTTCGAGCACCTCCATGATGACCACCTATTGGAGATGAGTGACAAGCCTTCAAAATATACAGTATCTCAGCTTCAGGAATGCACCGCCTGATGATGTTTTAAGCGCAAATCCTGTACAAATATGGTTCGTCCCAGAAATACTTACCTACATCATGCATGGACCTCTTTCTTTGATGAAATGTTAGTCCCTCATGCATTACATCACTAACAAGAAAATTAGCATAATCAGCAAACCAAGGAATAAGGTCAAGAATTGCAGCTAATACCTGCTCATCCGGGAATGTATCATCTATTTCAAGCTCCAGCTCTTCCTTCTTTGCAACCTCCAACCTAGACAGGTGATCAACTACCTAGTTCTCACATCCTATCCTATCCTTCACTTCAAAGCCAAACTCTTGGGGAAGCATCACCCATCGAATCAGCCTAGGCTTGGCATCTTTCTTTGCCATTAGGTATATCAGAGCAACATGGTCTGTATGAACTATCACCTTATTGCCCAACAGGTAAACTCTGAATTTTTCAAACGCATACACCACCGCTAATAGTTCATGCTCAGTGATTGTGTAGTTTCGTTGTGCCCCATTCAGCGACTTACTAGCATATTAAATTAGAAGAAACATCTTGTTGCTCTTCTGTCCCAACACAACTCTTAATGCAGTCCCACTAGGATCACACATTACCTCAAATGGCTCCGCCCAGTCTGGGCTAATGATCACTGGTGCTGAAATCAAGTTTTCCTTTAGGCATTCAAAAGCTTTGAGACATGCCTCATCAAAGACAAATTTCACCTCCTTCTCCAAAAGCTTGCACATGGGGTGTGCAATTTTGTAGAAGTCCTTGATTAGATGCCTATAGAATCTGGCATTTCCTAGGAAGCTTCGAACAACCTTCACACAGATAGGTGGAGGCAACTTTTCAATAACCTCAATTTTGGCCTTGTCAACCTCAATCCGTTTCTCCGACACTTTGTGACCAAGGACTATTCCCTCATTTACCATGAAATGGCACTTCTCCTAATTTAGCACTAGGTTGGCCTCCTCACATCTCTGTAGAACCCTACTAAGATTCAACAAACAGTTATCAAAAGTATCACCTACTACAGAGAAGTCATCCATAAATACTTCTAGAGTGTCCACAACCATATATGAGAAAATGGACATCATACATCTTTGAAATGTTGCTGGTGCATTACATAGTCCAAATGTCATGCGTTTAAATGCAAAGGTCCCATAAGGGCATGTGAAGGTGGTCTTTTCCTAATCTTCATGAGCAATTGATATTTGGTTATTGCCAGAGTATCTATCTAAGAAACAATACCACCCTTTACCTGCCAACCTATCAAGCATCTGATCCATGAAAGGCATGGGGAAATGATCCCTCAAAGTCCACTTGTTGAGCTTCCTGTAGTCGATACACACTCGCCATCCAGTGACTGGTCTTTGTGGGACAAATTTATTCTTGGCATTTGCCACCATAGTCATACTGTCCTTTTGGGGCACACATTGCACTGGAATGACCCAGTGACTATCAGAAATAGGATAGACCACCCCAACATCTAACCACTTAACGATTTCCTTTTTTACCACCTCTTCCATAGGTGGGTTTAACCTCTGTTGGTATTCAATGCTTGGGCTGCAGTCCTCCTCAAGCTGAATCTTATGGGTGTATATACCCGGAGGTATTCCAATTATATCAACAATGGTCCACCCAATGGCTCTTTTGTACCTTCTCAACACCTTGATCATCTCCTGCACCTGTTCTTCATTTAAATCTGCAGCTAAGATCCTAAGTAAAGTGTTATTAGTACCCAAAAATAAATACCTGAGGTGATTGGGTAACTATTTCAGTTCCAGCACCGGTGGCTCCTCAATGAATGGTTTTGCTGGAGGGCTTGGCCTGTTTTTCAAGTCTAGGTCCAATTTATTTGAAGCGTACGAGTGTGCTCCCATACCCTGCAAGGTATTCACAGTCTTTACATAGTCTAACTAGAAATCAGCATCAAAGTTCATCAGCACTGCAGCTAAGGTTTCAACAACCATCCTCTCTTCGATGGGTACTCTCATTCCTTCTTCATTAACCACCTCTATTGCAGATACTACATTCATATCATGTGGCTGCTTCATTGACCTACAAATATTGAACTTTACCTCATCCTTGTTGAGTCTGAACTTCAGCTCTCCTCTCTCAACATCTACCAAGGCCCTTCCAGTGGCCAAAAATGGTCTTCCCAAAATAATGGGAACCTCAAAGTCCATTTCGCAATCCAAGATCACGAAATCAACCGGAAAGATGAAAGTCTCATCCTTTACAAGTACATCACAGAGGACTCCCACATGCTGCTTAACTGACCTATCAGCCATCATCAACCTCATTGCTGTGGGTTTTGGAACTCCCAACCCCAATTTCGTATAGATGGCTAATGGCATCAAACTGATGCTGGCTCCTAGATCACACAAAGCTTTTGCAAACTTGATTGTCCCAATGGTATATGGGATAGTGAATGCACCTGGATCTTCCTTCTTCTGAACCAGAGATCTAGTAGCAATGGCGCTGCAATGATGAACATCATTGGTAAAATCAAAACTTACAACTCTCTTCTTTATAACTAAGTCCTTCATGAACTTGGCATATCCTGACATCTGTTGCAAGGCTTCCACCAATGGTATGTTTACTGAAAGCTGCTTCAACATGGTGATACATTTTGTAAGCTTCCCATCTTCAACTTTCTTTTTGAGCCTTTGAGGGAAATGAGGAGGTAGTCTAGGAATCTGTTGTAAAGGCAGGTTTTCCTCGATCTCGTTATCTTTTCCTCTCGCAGGTTGTGCTTTAGGCTGAGGATCCTCCAAATCATCTACCTGTTCAGCTTCATCCTCTTCTCTGATAGCGTGCTTCAATACCTGTTCATGTTTGGTACCTGCAGGAATAGTGTCAGTAAGAATTTTACCACTTCTGGTGGTGATGGCCATGCAGTGTCCATCTTTCTTGGGATTTTGGATGGTGTCACTTGGTAGTGACCCATTCTTCCTCGGATTTAGTGAGGCTGAAAGTTGCCCCAACTATTGCTCAATCTGCTTGATAAAAGTAGTGTGAGAGTCTACCAATTGACTCATGCTCGAAAAATCATCTCTCATCTCTTTTACTCCGGCATCAGTCGATTCAACCTTCTAAAGTACCTTGGCCATCATTTCTTCCAGCTTAGAACTGCTGGAGCTACCTAGCGCCCGATCTTTATTACCTGGGGGTATATAAACATCACTGCGATCATTACGATACCCATCTCTATTCTTCCAGTTTCCTTGCTCTTTATTTGTTGGCCTATCATATTGACCATGCCTAGCATAGTTTCGACCTGCATTTCCAGAATTGTAACCCTGATTTCTATAGTTAAAATTCTGGAAACCTCCTTGGTTCCCCATGTAGTTAGCTTTCTCATCAAAGTCAATATCCTAATCATCATACCTATTTTGCTGTCCCACAAAATTTACCTTTTCAAACTTGGCGATAATGTGCTTTGTGAGAAGGTCTATTTACGTCCTCATGTATGCCATGTCTTGGTCCCTTTCTTCTCCCCTTTTTCTCTGTTCAGCTAAAAGCTCAAATGTATACCCAAGCTCTCCTACCTCCGCATCTCTTGTGTACCATGCCCTGTTATTCTTTGATACCTTATCCAACAACTACATGCTCTCGGAGAATGACTTTCTCATAAATGAGCCTCCACAAACTGCATCAACAAGAGTTTTAGTATCATAATTTAGAGACCTATAAAAAGCCTGTTTCAGATGTCTTTCAGTAAGATCATGGTTGGGGAATTTCTTTAGCTTTTGGTTGAACCTCCACTAAGTATCATGCATTGCCTGTCCTGGTAGCTGCTTGTGTGTACTAATCTCGTCCTTTATCTGTAACTCTTTTGATTCTGGAAAGAATCATTCCAGGAAGGCCTCCTTCAGCTCTGTCTAATGGAGTCATCTGACATCTCATTCAACCAGTTTGTTGCCTCTCCAGTAAGGGACAGTGGGAACAACCTCAATCTCATCGCAGTTTTATTAACTCCAAAAATTTCTTGTGACTTGCAGTTTGCCACACAATTCATCAAGTGCTAATTTGCATCATCACCAGTTGCACCTCTAAACATAACTTTCAGGTTTAACAGTTGTATCATAGTGCTGGTTATGGTGAACTTAACACTTGGAGGTAGTGCAGGTAACACTATAGCTCCAGTGGCTCCAGCTCCATCCAAGTCAACATCATCTTCTTCATACATCATATGAGTTGGATGTTGAGCTCTACCCCTTGGGGATATTAATTGGCGCTGGGGAAGGACTAATCATTTAACACCTCTGCTATTATCTACTACCCTAGGTTGATTGATTACAACATTTTGCTGGGCACATGGCCTAGGTTGATTGATTCCAGCAATCTACTGGACATTCCTTGCAGCATCAATTTCAGCTTCTAAGCCAGTCTATGCCTCTGAGCCTCTAGTTCTTGTGCATACCATCTTTCGAATAGTTCTCTAAAATTCAGGGTCGTAAGGAAGCAATGGGGCTCCTTTACTTCTAGTTTTGGGCATGCACAATCGACCTCACCTGAAAGAGACACAAACATAGAAAAAAACATAAAAATTAGGAAATATAATTACAAATCGAATAAAAGATAGTAAAACACTTCTGACTTGAAATTCCCCGGTAGCAGCACCAAAATTTGATACGTCCAAACTTACACTTCAAA